ATGTGCACTCAAATTCTGAGAACACATTTATACAGTGAAATACCCCACCAGATGCCAAGGAAACTGATATTGATTGAAAGCATGGAGATGTATTTGTTCCCCTTCACCCTTGCCATGGGAGCATGCATTCATTGAGTGGATGCATTGTGGTGGAATTGCCTGTGTTTTTTAAGTTGTTCTCTCTCCCTTTTTCCTTTTCTCTAGCTCTCTCCTACTATCTCATTCTCTCATGTTTGCTGAACATGTATAGTAAGGTATTGTAATTTCAAATACATTGCAACTCTGTGATATACGGCATCCTCTTTATTTACATCCTTGTTTATATGTATGCTTATATATTCTTTGTTGAAGTCACACAGCTATATATCTATGTGTATACTGTTTGATTCTTAGAAGAGTTTGTTAGGGGCATGAGTTTCATCTCTGATTGCACCATGTTATACTGTTGTGTTCTTGGCCCATCTGGTTGCAAAAGAAAATCATACAAACAGATGTAGAAACCAGTTTCCTCCTCTGGAAAACAATTCAAAAGCTACAAGCCCATCAAATGCTGAGAACTGTCTAGCTATGGCATGGTACAGTAGACATCATTAAGATTTTTATCTTAAGATTGATACAGACACAGGTTAATTTCTCAGTTTTGTTTTTGTTTTAGCTTGGAATAGCTGTTTATTTAGATGATTACTTTGTTCATCATTATGTTGGTTTTCTAACCAAGGCGATAGTTCTATTTTGTAATCTCACATACCACCCAGCTACCATGGCCTGACTTCAGTGAAAGTATTTTCCCAGCAGAGATTCAGTGAAAGCATTCTCTGAGAATTTGAGTGAATAAACTGTACTTAGTGTTAAACCACAATTGGTTATGCGTATTTCTTGCCAAAACTAAAAGGTATAAATTCTGAATATTTTTTTCATAAGGACAGTTTCAGATTCTTTCAAGTGTAATGATTTTGACATTGTGTTTAAGAACAATTTTCATGCTAATTGAAGTCTCCTATGTAAAAGGAAAAAGTCAAGTTCTTAACGTACAGTTTTCTTTAAGGCATTAAATGCAATGAAAAAGAACCTTCTAGAATATTCTTTGTAGAGATTCTGTTGTGATTATTGCAGAGCTCCATCTGTAGATTCAACAGATTTATTGAGTACCAGGTAAGCACTATTAAAGGCATTGGGTATGCTTAGTAAGGAAAGCCATGTCCTTGACGTCATGAAGCATATGATCTCCTGGTGGGGCGATAGACAATAAAGAACTAAATAAATAGCAATTTAGAGAAGTATCAGGGAGACAAAGGACACAGTTCAGTGACAGAGAATAAAAAGAGGTGACCTAATTCACAGGGTGATTAGTGAAGGTTTTTTGGAAGAGGCAGATTTTAAGCCAAAACTTAGATAAAAAGGAGTTGAGCATGAAAACAGCTCAAGGCAGTTTTGTAGGCAGAAAGCAGCAAGGCATAAAGGAGCTTGGGTGTTTCCAGAACTGAAAGGAGATAAGAGTGGTTAAGTATGTATGTGTCTGGTATGGGGAGGGATGGGGAGAAGGTGACATGAGATTAGGTTGGAGAGGTAAACAGGTGCCAGATGATTCAGAGCCTTATTGGCCATGGTAAGACTCTGGATTTTGAAATAAGTACAGTGGGAAGCCAACAGCATTTTCAAATGTTGAGAGTCCTTATCTGATTTGAATTTTTAAAAGCTCACTTTGGCTGCGTTTTGGAGAATGAAATATGTGTGAGCATGTACCTGTGTGTTTGCGTTTATGGCTAAAAATGGAAGCAGTGAGACTCCTCGGAAGGCTATTAGAATCATCTCCTCAAAAGATAATAGTGGACTGCACCAGAAGGTGGCAATGGAGATGAAGCCAAAAGGATGGATTTGAACTATTTTTAGAGGCATTCTGAATTTACTGATTGATTTGATATCCGAGGTGAGGAAGAGTCAGGAGTCAAATGATAAGTTTTCTATATACTTATCTTTGAAACTGGGTGTACCATGGTGTCATTTACTAAGGTCAGGTTTGGGGGAAGATCACATTTCAGAGGGGGATCATGTTCACTTTCAGACCCTTAGCATGAAACCTATTGCAAAATTGATTACTTCATCAAACATTGATTGAGCTTCACTGCATGCCAGACATTCTACTGAGTAGTAAGGATATCTGATGTCCCTACACTTACGGAATTACAGAGATGATAGATTTCAGAGTGCTAGAAGAGACCATAGTTGGAAATAATCCAGTCCAGCATCCTCATTTTAAAGATGAAGTGTAGAATTTTAATCATTTTATTTTTCCAGAAATATTAAGACCTCTATAAAAATTGTGGTTATTTTAGTAAAACTTAATTTTCCTCATCCAACAATAGTTGTGGCATTTTTTTTCCCTTAGGAGTATAAGTCTGTTTTCATTTCTGTTTTAATGAATTGTTACAACTAGTCTTCAATTAGCATTAGTAAAGCACTTTCTGATGCATTCTGAAATCATAAAAGTATAGGCATTATAGTCAGTTCAGTGGGCAATATAGTCATTGACTTCGGTCAGACTTATAAACAATATATGCAAAAGGAATCAGAAACCATGTTCTAGTGTACACACATTTCTCACTAAGGCATTAATGTACACAAAAGGGAAATTAGCTACTTGTATTTTTTATATTATCAATGGTAGGTTGCTAATAACCTTGAAGCATGTTAGAGGGAATTTTTCAAACTTAATAGAAAGCATGAATTTGAGAGGAAAGAAAAAAATACATAAGGGCCCTAAATAATTTGTTGTGCAATGAATTCTAGATTTGTGTGTGCATGTTTGTGGGGTGCCTGTGTGTGTGTGTGTTGGAATGTTTGTTTTAAGGTCCCATTTAACTTTATAAGTTAAGGTGTTTGGTCAAAGAATAAGTAGGCAGTGATGAAACAGCAAGTTGTGTAAACAGTTTAAATACCAGGAGATGAAAAAGATTATTTAGGGTGGTCTAACTAAGCATACTTACTATCTAAATTACAGCATTAATTGTTCATTTATGATGGAGTTCTTGGCTCGTCATAGTAGGTCAGGTACTATGAAGGAAAGGAGATGAAAATTCCTGCCCTGCGGGCATAGCAAATTGGAAGCATCAGGTATGGTCCAGTCTGCACACACACGGGCACACACCTGAGGGGAGAATGTTTTCTCCAATAAGTGGTTATGGTCATGGAATGCCCCATAGGGCAAAGGAGGTGTCCAGATGTATTGTAGAGACAGGGGCCTGTTTTTTAAGAAAGGAAAAAAGTGCATATTGAATGAGACAGATAATAGTCAAGTGACTTCCTTGAAGTTTAAAAGTAGTTTAAGAGGTGAAGATTAAGGTAAGCATAGTGATAGATTGAAATATATGCCAATGAAGGAGGCAAATCTTCTGCAAAGATGGTTGAAGTTATTAAAATAAGTAATTAGAACAAAGGTTCTGCTTCATCCCTGCAACAGGAATGACAGGACTAAATTGAGAGAACTTGAATCACAATAATGGAAGATTTGACCCTGAGACTTCAAGGAAGAAACATAAATGACCAAGGACTGACAATAGAAACTTCATGGAATTTATAAGTAGAATTGTATACATGCAAATTGATTAAAAAATTAGCGGTGAATATAAAGACCAGACAGAAAGACAGCTTGTCTTCCAGAATCAATCAGAAATGATAAAACAGGGACTTTGTTTATATGCCTGGACAGGAATAATTTGTGCTTTATCAGATAATCAATATCTTTATAACCTCATCAGAGACACAAGAGATAGAGAGGGCTTCCCAATTCCTGAATAAATGTTTAGAAATAAACATTAGCAAGAATTTGGAGGAAGCTTTCAGGACAGGAAAATCTCTTTTAACCACTTGTGCCTGGCTCCGCTAGAATGTCCACCTTCTCTGTTTTTACTGGGGCAGTTTTAGCATCTCAACTGTTGGTTAATATTTTTCCAATGAAGAACTCATTTTCTTGCTTATGTGTAGTTAGTATGGCCTTATACTACTTCACACATAATCTTAAAATATTCCTCATCATGTCACATACTGGAAGACACCACACCCTCCTGAAGCTTCAGAATGGCTGTACGGCAAAGGAAAAAACTATAGGAAAAACTAGCAAAAGCAGGTACTTCGTTTTTTTTTGTTTTGTTTTGTTTTGTTTTTGGTTTCCTCTTAAAGTTTTTCAGCTGTACGAATCCCTGACCAGCCAAAGAAATTGTTGAGGGAATAATCTGGGAAACAGAGAGTAGAAACATCTTGAGATATGTTCCCCTATGTAAGACAAATGTCTTCCATTAAGGTTTTCTAAATAGTCTCTTGAAATGGGGACACAGGTCAGGCTAGCTCTTGCCCAGGTAAACCTAAGCCTGCAGGAGCCTGCCCTAGCCTGTGCCCAACAGACACAGAGGCCATAATCTTGAGAGTTATGCTTTAGTTTGTTTTTAGAAATTCCTTCTTCACACATTACCTCTAGAACTTTCTCATTTTTCAGTTCTTCTTAGGTTATTTTTAGAAATTCTTTCTTCACACATTACCTCTAGAACTTTCTCATTTTTCAGTTCTACTTAGGGACAAAGAGCACCACTTAGCTGCTGAATTCATTTAAGAAGGCAGGACGGCAAAACAAGCTCTCTGCATGTTTCCTCTGGGCATATTGTTGCCAGGTCTGTGGTTTGTGTCTAGAAATTTGACCAATGAGTTGAGGAACATTTTTCACCCCTTTTCCCACTCCCTTCCTCTTTCCTTTTCCTTCCCTTCACTTCTCTTGCTCTCTCTCTCTTTCTCTCCCTCTTTCTTTCTCTTTCCTTCTCTCTTTCTCTCTCTTTCTTTTCTTTTCTTTCTCTCCTCTCCCTCTCTTTCTTTTCTTTCTTCTCTCCTCTCCCTCTCTTTCTTTTTCTTTCTTTCTTTCTTTTTTTTTTTTTTCCTGGAGAAGAGTGGTTTAAAAGGGAGTTGAATATAACAGAGCACCTTATTATTTTCCTTTCTTTCTGTTTGCTAACTAGGAAAGTCCATAAGCTTGATAATGGAGGAGAACAATGACGCCACGGAGAACCCCCAACAAGGCCAAGGGCGGCAGAATGCTATCAAGTGTGGGTGGCTGAGGAAGCAAGGAGGCTTTGTCAAGACTTGGCATACTCGCTGGTTTGTGCTCAAGGGGGATCAGCTCTACTATTTCAAAGATGAAGATGAAACCAAGCCCTTGGTGAGTAGGAGAAAATGTAAAGCATTAAGGGCCTAAGAAAGCCAAGAAATAGAGGGATTTGCTGGAAACTGATTGGGACTGAGACCACCCAAAGTCCCCCGGTCTCCTTCAGTTCATTGTCATCTTTCACCCTTTTACCCATTGTTTGCTTTGAGTTGGAGATAATAAATTTGCTAATTCAGGCCAAGAGGCAAATTATACTTGTCTAATATTAATTTCAGTTTTTACCAGAGGAGAATGTCTCAGTTCCTCTGGCAAACTTAGTTCATGAGAAAATTTTAATAGACATCTGCTAAAAGAGATATTGTAGCCAAAACATCTTTCTTTTTCTCAGGAGTAAATGGAAAGCACAGGTTTGAAGGAAGAACTGTAGGCACAACTTTCAGTAATTTCTGAGACATTTTCAGTATCAATTCTCAGAGGCTTCCCTGCATACTTTAACTTACATTAAATATGGATGTGGTGCTGAACCAAATGACATTGATACATTCAACCAGCATACATAATATACCCATTCCTCTGTGAATAGTCTCTCTGTTGCTCTGTAGTTCCTTAGTGGTTCTTTATTTGCTTATTTACTTATTTTCTCAACCAAAAGTCTCAAGACTGCAATGAGAGAGAAGAATCATCTTCACCTGCATTTCTGTAGTTGCAACAGTTTTCTCAGATTGATCATGGCTTATCAGTTGATGAGAGGATATGCAAACTAAGGCATCACTTCTGTGTGTTTTTCATCTACATCTATAGGATACGTACATGAGAGAAGAATCATTTTAGATTCATTTATATAAACAACCCTAACAGTCTGTTCTTGAGGCTATTTCCTCTTGTGTTAAAGTTAAGGAACTTAATTAGGAATTTGAACCAGGTCTCTGCTTTAGTATTTTAAATTCCTAAGGCATTATAATTTCATGATGTTCTTATTCCTCTAATTGAATTCCCTAAAAATAGCAATAAAAATACATGCTGCAAACCTTGGTCATTTTTTTGAAATTGCTACTACTTTTTAGGCATTTACCAGAGCTGGACATCAGGCTAAAAGTTTACATATACTATCTTATGAAATATTTAAAATAATCCTATGAGGTAGGTATTATTAACCCTATTTATGCATGAACACCAAGGTTTATGTGTAATGCAGATTACCCAAAGTTAAACAAACAGTAGTGTAATAATTTGTCTCAAGTAAGTCTGAGTTCATATGGCTTTAGCCCAAGACATTATAAGTAAATTTAGAGGGTCCTATATTGGTTTCATGACAGTTATAGTACTTTCCGTATCTGTTATTTCATTTGTTATTGCAACCCGGTGGGGAATATGGGGACTATTTTTACAGAGGAGGAAACTGCGACTTAGAGATATGAAGTGATGTAATCAAGATCATATGATCATTCAAAGATCAGAAGCAAATTGATAGAGTCTTCTGTCTCCTATCTTACCCTCCATGGTTCTTTTCTAATTGCACCTTGTTTTATAATTATCTAATAATCAGATTAAGGTATTACCTTGAATATAAAATTATTTTTACCAAACTCAGAGAAAGGAATCAGGTTAATGTGAAAAGACAGAATTTAAGGGGTCCAATGTGGGGACTTCGTTATGGAGGAGCACAGTGAATACCGTCTGTGAGAAAATACATAGAGGGCCATATCCCAGGCAATATGATAATATCCTTTTTGAATAATTTAGGGCAGAATTCCTCAAACTAGAGTTCATGTGCACATTCTCTGACATTTGCACATTCTCAAATTTGAGAAACACGGACCACAGGCTTGGATCCACTCTATCATGACTAGTTAGATTGATTAAAAAAATTGGAAATATAGCTTTTAAAATGTAAAAACTCCAGATTAATTCAAATGAAAATCTACTCAAAATGAAAATTACATTAATTCATAGTATTTCCAAGACAAATAATATTTTTATATTAGCATGTTACTAGTATTACTAGTATTTGTAGACTTACTGTAAATAAAATTAACAAAATAGACTTGTATTGACCAAAAAGTACTAATTCTTTTACAAACCAAACATAGACCATCACCATCCCCCCTAAAAAATATTTTTAAATTTTTCATTCTATATATTATTTGTTAAAGATTTGTGATTAATAAAGAAGTTAAAATGTAGCATAAATAACTTTATTTTATTTATTTATTTATTTATTTATTTATTTTGAGACAGAGTCTCACTCTGTAGCCCAGGCTGGAGTGCGGTGGTGCGATCTCAGCTCACTGCAACCTCCGCCTCCCGAGTTCAAGTGATTCTCCTGTCTCAGGCCCCCAAGTAGCTGGGACTACATGAGTGTGCCACCATACTCAGCTAATTTTTTTGTATTTTTAGTAGAGACAGGGGTTTCACCATGTTGGCCATGCTGGTCTTGAAAGTGCTAGGATTACAGGCGTGAGTCACTGCGCCCAGCCTTGGGATAAATAACTTTGAATTATCTTTTTTAACTAACTTCCATACAATTCAAGCACTGATAATTTTAACATTGAGCTTTTTAATGTTTTGCCCTGATGTTTAAACACATGCATACAAATTCAGATTAAGAACTGACAATTTCTATATCAGAGGGAACTTTGTAATATGCAAACATTCTATGTTGTTCTATGAATGGGCTAATTTCTTTCCTTAAAATAGACCAAGTGAGGGTAGATGCCTGGCCCATGGTAACAGTTAATAGCATATTTTTGAATGAGTTAATGAGTCAATGGAATGTATCTAGGGCCATGCAGCAGCAGGGCCAGGACTAAGGTACTGTGAGTAATATTGACTGTTTTCAACTCCATCTATCAAAATCATACTATTTAAAACAACAAAGTTTAAGCCACATTAAATAAGCCCTGCAGTGATATATTGTAGAATATATTTAAAAGAATCAGAACATCTAAATGGAGAATAATTGAGCACCTTGAAAAATGTTGAAAGAGGAAAAAAATTTGTCTTAAAACCTGTCATTCTGTAGTTGTGTGTTTATGATTGCATGTATGTGGTTGTGTGTATATCTGTGTGTAACAGCCAAAAGGATGTTATTAATGAGTGAGAGATGAAGAACTAGGAGTCACTTTCTTGCTCCTAGATGCAGTGCTTCTTCTGCTTCATCCTTGCCTTCTCATTAGTCCTCAACTTTTCTTTACCTTTGCTTTTAGTCAGAGGTATTTCTTGTTTTTTTCTTTTCACTTCAATGCTTCCAACATAAGAATGCCCTTGGCCTTCATGTATTTTGATGAGGGCTATTTCAATAATATGGAGAAAATATCATGAGTAAAGTTTCAAAAATTCATCCTTTTAAACATTCCTAACCAGCTGGAAAGATTCAATAAACTTAACTTGCTTTTTGTTTTTTTTTTACTTTCTTAGAAGGCACTTTTTTTAAAAAATTAATTTATTATTATTATTATACTTTAAGTTCTAGGGTACATGTGCATAA